CTATGCTCTGAAGAATAAAGAATCTTCAAGAAGAACATGTTATTTCATGGTCACATTAATTTTTAAAAGTATCCCAAAGATAACAAGTGTTTTTCAATAGCAAAACTCAAAGCCTGACTAGTAATATTGTCAGCAATATTCATAAATTACATTGCTATGTTAAAAGTTACATGGATGCAGAGCAGCATTAAAACACATCTACAATCTGTTAACATTCCCAGGGAAACAAAAACAGCAAGAATATTTTGGAAGAAATCAAGGAATATTGTAGGCAATGGAACCCGTGGGGAAAATTTCAAGCAATTATTATTGTATTTTAAATGGAAAACAGAGAGCAGAAGAACATGCTGAAAACAATAAACTGCCCTTCTTCATTTCCTCCGATGAAAAAACAATGTGACACATTAAAATCTTTCGTCCTTAATACATGAGGAATACAGTCATTTTTATTAACTTCAGTACAACATTACACAATAGTTCACTCCTCTTTGTGTGGTGGGGTACGAATTTCAATCCGTAAAATCACTTGTGTGTAATATGTCACAATATTAAATTTTCTTTAGAGCCACTTGAATCTGAGAGAATACAGAAATGGTACTCATAATATAATTTCATATATATAAAATTGTGTTCATAATAAAATTCTATTATTTAAATCTTTTAAAAAGATAATTGACCACTGAAACAAAAATAATAACAATACAATGTAGGATTTATAACATATGTAAAAGTAAAATGTATAACAAAGTAGAAAGGTTAGGGGAAGAGAACTGGAAGTGTACTATCAAAAGCGTCTTATATGTGCAGTGGCACAATATCACTGGAACATAAACTGTGATAAAATAAAGATGTATGCTACAAACCATTAAAATACCAAGAAAAAAAACATTAAGAAAACAAAGAATTTTTGTTAAGTCAAAAAGGATACCAAATGAAATCATGAAAATATTCATTTACTCAAAAAAAAGACAAAAAAGGGGGAAAAAGGGAACAACAGGTGACACAAAGAGAAAAAAAAGAGAAAAATGATAGAATTAATTAAACGTGGCCACATGAATAATCATATTAGAAGAGAGGTCTACATAACCCAACGGAAAATCAAGATGCAAGTATATGTTGCCTATAAGAAAACCACTTTAAGTATAAAGACACAAATAGTTTAAAAGTAAAAGGACAGAAAAGTTATCTAATTAATGTTTAGGTAATACAAATCCAAAGAAAGCTGGAGTGACTATATTAATATCAAGACAAAATAGATGACAGAGTAAAGAATATTACCAGGGATGATAAAGTCATTTCAATTTATCAAGCACAAAAAAAAATCCTCAACATATATGCCCTTATTAACAGAGCTACAAAAACATGAAGCAAAAACCTGATAGAACAGCAAAAAGAAATAAACAAATCCAGAATCATTGTCATAGATTTCAATACCCCTCCCTCACTAATTGATAGATCAAGGAGACAGAAAATCAATAGGAACATAGAAAATTAGAACAACACTATCAGCCAACATGGCCTAATAAATATTTATAAAACACTCCACCCAACAGCAACAAAGTGCACATCCTTTTCAAATATATATGGAACATTTACCCAAGATAGGCCATATTCTAAGCTATTAAAAAGTCACAATAAATTTACAAGCATTTAAGTCATATAAATTAAATTCTCTGACCATAATGTAATTAAATTGGAAATCAATAGCAGAAAAATTTTCCAAAAAATCCCCAAATATTTAGGAACTACACATTTCTACATAACCTACAGGTCAAAGAAAAAAGAAATTTAAAAATATTTTGAACATAATGAAAATAGGAACATGACATATTATTTGTAAGATTCTGCTACAGCAGGAGTTAAGGGGAGATTTGTATTACTAAACACCTACATGAGAAAAAAATAATTTCAATCCAATGATCTCAGCTTCTATGTTAAGTAACTAGAAAAAGAAGAGCAAGCTAAATACAAGGTAGCAGAAGAGTTAAAATAATAAAAACTAGATAGAAATCAATGAAATATGAAACAGAAAAACAACAGAGAAAAATCTATGAAAGCAAAAGTTAGTTCTTTTAGCAAATCAATAAAATTGATAAAGCCCTAGCCAGAGTTAGTAGGATAAAAAGGGAAATGATACAAACACATTAACATCATCAACCATCATGGAAATGCAATATAAAACCACAAGAAGATACCACTATATACCTATTATAATGACTAAACCTCAAAACACTGACCACGTATGGTGAGGACATGGAGCAACTGGACCTCAAACGCTGCCGCTGGGAACATGAAGTGGTACGGCCACTTGAGAAAACAGTTTGGCAGTTTCTTCAAAGATTAAACCTATACCTACTATATGATCTAGTTGTTCCATTCCTAGGAATTTCCCCAAGAGAAGTGACAGCACACATTTGCACACATTTATACTCAAAGTCCATGGCAACTTCATTTGTTGCAGCCCCAAAGTGGAAACAAACCAAATGTCCATCAATGGGTGAATGGATACTCATCTGTGGTATATTCATGCAAATAGAAATCTATGAATATACCAGCAATTAAGAATGAACTATTCTCACATGCTACAACATAGATGAATCTCAAAATAATTATACTGAATGAAAGTAGCCCAACCTTCCTAAAAGTACATACTGTATTATTCCATGTATATAAAATTCTAGAAAATGCAACAGAAATCACATCAGTGGTTGCCTGTTAGAAGGGAATGAGGGAGAGATTACAAAGAAGCATGAGGAAACTTTTGGGGACTATGAGTAGGTTCATTTTCAGTGATGGCTGTACAGGGTCACACACAAGTCAAAACTTATCAAATTGTACACTTAAAATATGTACAACTCATGGTATGTCAATTATACCTCAACTAAGCTGCTTTAAAAATTCATGGACAAATATGAGTAAATACAGAAATAAAAAGTTCAATTCTTACCAATCAGTCACACTAATCAATATAGGAAACACTGATTTATTTGGGTTTGGTAGAAATACCAATGAAAATAAGGAGGATCCATCTGAAATTATGTAACTATGCACATAAAATTAACCTAAAATATACTACATTTTTAATAAATTCATTAATAAAACAAGATTATTGTTTCCAACAAATTATTTACAACAAATCAATTTAGGACTTTCTTTTTCCCAATATCTTTAATATTGTATTTATAGTTCTAGTTTTGAGATTGATTGTGAACAGTGTAAATTTTGATGCACTTTGTTCTCATTTTAACACAATCAAATGAGAATGAATTTATTTGTACGGCAGGATCTTTCCATTTGTGGTTCAGATTGAATAGGACTGAGAATTTCTGATTACTTAGAACCAAGCCCTGCAGAAAAAATGATTACACTGTGGTAAAGTGTTCACCGGGTAGCTGCATCCAATAAATGTTACAGTCATACTTTGTTCAGCTATGGCTGCAATTCCACTCAAATTCTGTGAGTGAAAAATTGAAAAAGATCAGGTTTCTAGAGAGAGGGATGAAGTAAGGTACATCTGATTCTGAGATTTTTATTTCAAATAAAATTAAAAAATTACATGAGATTCTTTATATTATTTTCTGAATCCTGCCCACTTTCCTAGGGGGGAAAAAATAAATACCTCTTCCAGCCTTTCAGTATTTCCATCTACATAGAGTCTACACTTGGAAAAAACAGATTACTAAACTGCAGTAATTAGACCAAGTACCATCTTAACATGCTAAGTCTTTGAAATACATGATACAACTTAAATTCAGGTTTATGTTGTCCAAGTGCCTCATAAAATATTACTGAGAATAGACCCTCAACTGGTCTATCAATTGGTGTCTATTTATACACATTTTAAATATATATCAACATTTAATACCTTGTACTGTTATTTATAAATATCTTATGTTTCAAAAGATTTTCAAAACTGTCAAAAAACTATGTTGACAACGTTGTTTTTACAGATTCTCTTGGTTTGCAAAAAGGCGTTCTCTGGTTTATGTCCATGTGTATGTAATTATCTCTCTTCACCCCCTAAACACTGAAACAGAAACAGTGTGGTGGTAGACTACAAAAGCTTGAAATCAGAAGCTCTGGGTCTAGCCCAGGCCCACCACACACTAGCCTCTGCTTTGTCGAATATCCCTAACTTCTGTCTGCTTCTTTAAACCACACGTAGGAATGGCGTTCATAGGGCATCTGTGACTATGAATCAAGGTATTTAGGGAAAGACCTTATCCCACGGCCTAGCACATAGTGAGTGCTCAAAGAATTAAGAGCTACCGTTGAACTACAAAAATGTTTAGGACAAGGTCCACCCAATGATTGTCTTGTTACATAGCGACATAACTACAATACATCCTAGCGGGAATGAAACACTTGATAACGATGATTTAACCAAAATGAGCTTAGAAAGGAGAAGCTCAAAAAATAATAATATAAAATGAAAAAATAAAACCTAATTTAAATTCCAACTATGTCATGTTAATTAAATAACCCATTCTAGTTGGTTATTTTATTCTAACCAACCTATCAATTGGACATGACCTGTACATAGTAAAAGATGTTTGGTGAATGCGTACTGAGAGATTAAATCACAGGCATTGTCTACAACAGTGTATGAATACTTTTAGCTAATAGTAGAAGATGCCTTTCAATTTGAGGAGAAGCCATAAAATTGAGTGATATTTCTCCAAACATCAGTTACTACTACTCATGTATTTCTCTCTAATGATGAACAGATGAAGCAATATGGCTCTGCAGGGCATTTGTTGCATTGGAACCTGAACTGCGATGCGTAATGCTCACAAGGATGCTTCCCTCCTCCCCACCCCAGGCCCACGTCAGTAGGAGGCCCAGTGAGAATCCCATAACCACTTACAGAAAACCAGTGCTGCACAGCTCCATACAGTACATCACTAAAACATATCTTGAAGTTTGTTTTTATTTCCAAACATAATTCCATTGTCTCTAATGTTCATAGTCCTTTAAAGTTTATTTTGTTCATTTCACAGGTCTCCTGTTATGGCTGGAGGTCTCTTTGCTGTGGATCGAAAATGGTTTTGGGAATTAGGTGGCTATGATCCAGGTTTAGAAATCTGGGGAGGAGAACAGTATGAAATCTCTTTTAAGGTAAGCCCCCAAGACCCTGTTCACAACATGTCTGTGCAATTTTGACACTTCTGATAACATACCATCATGTTGCTTTGTGACCTATGTTGTGAGATGACTTAATAATGACAATAGCCATGTCACCTTCCCAAGCAAGCTTTTGTAATTTGGGGTATTTTTTTTACTGATATATGATCACTGTACATATTCTGGAGGTACATGAAATGTCTACTGAGGTCTTTTGCACCCATTTTTTAATCACATGATTTGTTTTTTTGCTGTTGAGTTGAATTCCTTATATATTCTAGTTATTAATCCCCCCAGATGGGTATTTTGCAAATATTTTCTCCCATTCTATAGGGGTTGTCTCTTCATTTTGTTGATTGTTTCCTTGCTTGTGCAAAAAATTTTTGAACTTGACGTAATCCTGTTTGTCTATTTTTGCTTTTGTTACCTGTGCTTATGTCTTACCAAAAAAATCTTTGCCAAGACCAATGTTTGCCCAATATTTTCTTCTAGTAGATTCATAGTTCCCAGTCCTACATTTAAGTCTTTAATCTATTTTGAGTTGAATTTTGTTTATGGTGAAAGATGGGGAGCTAGTTTCATTCTTCTGCATATGGATATCCAGTTTTCTTAGCACCATTTATTGAAGAGACTGACCTTTCCCCCCATTGTATGTTCTTGACACCTTTGTCAAAAATGAGTTGGCTGTGTGTAGATTTATTTCTGGGTTCTCTATTCTGATTTATCAGTCTATGTGTCTGTTTTTATACTGGTACCATGCTATTTTGGTTACTATAGCTTTGTAGTATAATTTGAAATCAAATAGTGTGATGCCTCCAGATTTGTTCATCTTGTTCAGAATTACTTTTAACTATTCTTATGAATAGTTTTTATATGAAACTTTATAGTTTTCTTATGAATAGCTTTTATATTTCTTTTTCTGTAAGAATTTTTGCATTGTTTCATCTATATCTGTGAAAAATGTCTTTGGTATTTGATAGGGATTGCATTAAATCTGTTGATCATTTTGAGTGGTGTAGACATTTTAATAATATTAATTCTTCTAATCCATGAGCATGTGATGTCTTTCCTTTTTTTTGTGTGCCCTGTTCAATTTCTCTTAGCAGTGTTTTATAGTTTTCCTTGATCATTCACTTCTTTGGTTAAATTTATTCTTAGGTATTTTTTGAGCTATTGAAAATAGGATTGCTTTCGTGATTTCTTTTTCAGATTGATCACTGTTAGTATATAGAAACCTCAGGTTTTTGTATGTTGATTTTGTATCCTGCAACTTTACTGAATTCATTTATCATTTCTAAAAGATTTTAGTGGATTTGTCTAAATATAAGATTATATCTTCTGCAAACAAGGATGAATTGACTTCTTCCAATTCTGATGCTCTTTATTTTTTTCACTTTTTCATTTGCCTAATTCCTTAGGCTAAGACTTCCAGTACTATGTTAAATAAAAGTGGTGAAAGTGGGCACCCTTGTCTTTTTCCCAGATCATGAACAGTATTTCAATTTTCCCCCTTTCAGTATGATATTACTGTGCGTTTGTTTTATATTGGCTGTATTTTGTTGAGGTATTTTTCTTCTACACCCAATTTGTTGAGAGTTTTTCTCATGATTGGATGTTGAATTTTATCAAATGCTTTTTTAGCATCTATTAAAATGATTATAGGCCGGGCGCTGTGGCTCACGCCTGTAATCCTAGCTCTTGGGAGGCCGAGGCGGGCGGATTGCTCGAGGTCAGGAGTTCAAAACCAGCCTGAGCAAGAGCGAGACCCCGTCTCTACTATAAATAGAAAGAAATTAATTGGCCAACTGATATATATATAAAAAATTAGCCGGGCATGGTGGCGCATGCCTGTAGTCCCAGCTACTCGGGAGGCTGAGGCAGAAGGATCACTCAAGCCCAGGAGTTTGAGGTTGCTGTGAGCTAGGCTGACGCCACGGCACTCACTCTAGCCTGGACAACAAAGTGAGACTCTGTCTCAAAAAAAAAAAAAAAAAAAAAATGATTATATATGCTTTTTGCCCTTGATTCTGTTGATGTAATGCAGCACATTTATTGATTTGCATTTATGTTGGACCATTTTTGCATTCCTGGGATGAGACCCATTTGAACATGGTGAATGACCTTTATAATGCCCTGTTGAATTCAATTTGCTATTATTTCATTGAGAATTTTTACATCTATGTTCATAACAGATACTAGCCTACAGTTTTGTTGTTGTTGTATTTTTGTCTAGTTTTGGTATCGAGGTAATGCTGGCCTTGTAGAATGAGTTTGGCAATATCCCCTCCTCACCAATTTTTTGAAATAATTTGAATAGAATTCGTATTAACTCTTCTTTAAAAGTTTGATAGAATTTATCAGTACTCCTAGGCTTTTCTTAGATGGGAGACTTTTTATTATTACTGCTTTGATTTCATTACTTGTTATTGGTATGTTCAGGTTTTCTATTTCTTCATGGTTCAGTCCTGGTAGGTTGTATGTGTCTAGGAATTTATCAATTTCTTCTAGGTTTTCTGATTTGTTGGCATATAGTTGTTCATAATAGTCTCCAATGATCCTTTCTATTTCTGTGGTATCAGTTGTAATGTAGTTTTTTTCTTCATCTCTGATTTTATTTGGGTCCTCTCTCTTTTATTCTTAGTAAGTCTAGCTAGAGGTCTATCAATTTTGTTCATCTTTTCAAAGAACCAACTTTTCATTTCATTGGTTATTTGTGTTGATTTTTTGGTGTCAATTTCATTTAACTCTCCTCAGATCTTTGTTATCTCTTTTCTCCTGCTAGCTTTGCTCTTTTCTAGTTTCTTGAGGTGTGACATTAAGTTGTTAATTTGTGATCTTTCTATCTTTCTGATGTAGGCATTTAGTGGTATAAACGTCCATCACACTGCTTTTGCTACATCCCATAGGTTCTGGTATATTGTATTTTCATTTTCATTTGTTTCAAGAAATTTTTAAATTTTTTTCTTAATTTCTTCATTGAGGTAATTCAGAAATATGTTTAATTTCCATATATTTGTACAGTTTCCAAAGTTCCTCTCATTATTCATTTTTAATTTTATTTTGTTGTGGCCAAAAAAGATACTTGATATGATTTTAACTTTTTTGAACTCTACTTGATTTCACTATAAATGCTCAGTAAAATCATATACTTTATTGCACCTATATATACCCAGATTTATATGCATATTTATGAAGAAGTATCAAATTTCAGAGTTTATAAACTAAAAAAAATTACTGTAGCATATGAAGAAGTTAAGCAAAGCAAAATAAAGTGCCCATGGTTATAATCCAGCTGCCAAGATGGGCTTTTTTTTTTTGAAAAAGCAGTCTCATAAAGAAAAAAAAAACCTTTTTCCTTTATCACAGTCATTATTTATATAGATATATAGGTTGATTCTTGCAACATTTATCATACAGAAATCTCTAAGTAAATCAATATTTGCTAATTACTTCCATTATAAAATCAAGCCAGTTCTTGCTGATGAAAAAAATGCATCCTGAACATAGCATAAGTCAAACATAAGAATCCAATTAACTTTTCCAATTTATTCATAAAAATCAAATTATAACACTGATTTTTATGAAACTGTAACAGCTATATTCAACTTGTTAACAGCAATGTTATGTTGTCCTCAAAGTGTCATAAAATAAGTATCCCCAAAGAGAAATTCAGGAGGCATAATTGCAGGCTTCAGAACATCTAGAATTTTCCCTCCCACTATGGTGGCAGTAATCCTTGAAATACCATTTGTTAAATTAGTGCTTTTTGTGTGCATTATTCAAACACATCTAATTTCACATCTAAGCCTTTTATTTTAACATTTTGGTAGATGCATTGTTTTAAATCTTTGTGCCAATGTCTTCTGGGTTCCTCTGTTATAGCAATAGTTGTACACTTTGTTACAGTGTATATGACAGCAAGTAATAATAATAACAGTAGTGATTATAGAAATAGCATCCTGTATATTTACTTAGGAATATATGCCAGATGCTGAGTTTAGTGCTTTTGTGCATTATCTAATTTAAAATCATAACCCTAGTAGATTTTATCATTCCACTTTACAGATGAAGAAACTGAAACTTCAAGTTTTAAATATTTTTTTTAGACCAATGTCTTTAAGTTTTAAAGATTAAAGAAATTACTTAGTGTCAGTTAGGGATTAAAATGCTCCACTTCTGTTTAATTACAGAGACTACAGACACATGAAATTTTCTGACCTTCAAATCATATCCACCAACACCATTCTCAAGTTCACTGTTAACTATTTGATCCCCACCTAATGGTTTATCTCATTGAACAGAGATTAGTCTCTTCATTATAGTCTAGAAGCACAGCAGCAAACTTTCTACTGATCCTGACAGAGTCCTATTGATTATCAGATACTGCCCCAAATTAGCCAGGTGCTAAGTTTACAACAGTACCTTCAACTAGAAGAATATTACATTTCATCCCAGCTTTAAAGAAAAAAAATGGCATTGTTATATTTGCAATATCATCAGAATTCAAGAGATACTATTTAGTTTTCACAGTTCAAGGTTTTTTTGTTTCTTAAATTCTATTAATTCATGAATTCCTTAAGTTTCAAATGTTATTAAGAAAAGTTCTATTAAGCAAGAGCTACCTGGCTTTAAATAATGAACTGGATGATGGATAAAATTGCTGTTGAAAATCTGGAGAGTTTGCAGAGTATACATTTGCATTCTAAATCACAAAGGTGTTTTTGGAAAACATATACTTTCGTCTCTCACTCCTCTGTCACTTGCATCCATCACTTCTCTTCTGGGTGACCTGAGATTTTATTACCCCATTTCCTATTTTTTCAGTTATCTGTCATTCCGAAGGGATATAATTGGAATGCAGCCCTGCAGTCTTTGTCTAGAAACCATGGCAACAGCACTGGAAGTTCAGGACTAAATTGCCCCAGGTTGTTTGGTTGGAATGACAGATTCTTTGGCGACAGCTATGTCTTAACAGGGTCCCATTTCAGACATAT